CGATTTCTGATTATGTGAGGACACATCTTCAACTACAGAGACACTAAAAGAGACTTAAGAATTCTTTGAAGTGTTTCAGTCCACTGAGTACTACCTTAGTTTTTTCACCAGACATTTTTCATCAACTTCTTGTCAGCCAGTCACTACTCTGTAACTACTGGAGGATGTGGTTCACAAACTGAGAGGAATGAAATTGAGCTGATTGCCATGCAAGTAATTGTACATTTTAATCAGTGCTGCTTTAGTGTCCTCCAATGTGCCTTGTGTAGCTTTGCATTCATGTTTTGCACTGCAAGACCACCACACCCTCAAAAACATTATATGAGGCTTAAAAAAAAGTAAAATGCACAAGTTCAAAAACCAGCTCACTAAGACATCAGTTATTCAAGAGCCAATGATAAAAACATGGATTTAGTAATATAGAACTCATCCATTTGATGTATGGGAGCAACACTGCAAAAATTAAAAGTAAGAAGCATTGACATCCACTCCCTTCCACAGAACATCTTCAATTGACTGTGAGACTTTTTTTAACGTATTCTCTAAGTATTTTTTTTAAGTAATTCTATTTTGCTATCCTTATCATTAAACTTATATTCTCCTTTGAACTTGTTTCATACTTTGTGAAAATATTTTTTTTAACCAAAAGTTAAAATGTTCAGTGCAACATAATTTATTTCTAAGTATTTCATTTTACACAAATCAAAGTCAAATTAGTTATAAGGTTCACTATTGCAATTCACCATCAAGTATTAAACCAACAAATAAATCCGCATACGGCTGAGCCAGAGTTACATTTTCAACTATATCAGTATCTGCTTAAAGGAGCTTGAAAGGGAAGCATAACATAGACTAATAAAGCATTCTACAATTTAAAAAAAAACTGAATTTGATGAATTATCAAGCTATATGCTGCTCTAATCTCTTATTTCCAGTGCTAGACCTCAACATTAATGTATTTAAAGTCTTTACAAACCCCTCACATTCAAGTGAATTAACATGTCAGTGAAAATAATGATTATGTATGCAATGAAATTAAGAGTGCTTTTAAATATGTTTAATATATAATTACATTTTAATGTTCTTATTTCCTGGAGATTAATTGAGAGGTAATGACTGTAGGCTTTCACCCGTACCAAGATATTATCAGATCTCAGTTAAGCAAATCCAGTCCAACTCAGACCTCGAACAGACTCAAGAACACTTGTGTCAAAGTTTTGCTGGCATCTACATGTAGGTTTTGAAACAATTTATCTTACATTTTATCTTTAGTCTAATACCAAGCACATAAAAAAAAAAGGAAAAAAAAAGCATGAAAAAAGAAAGCCTCGCACTGATTTCACCTGAGGTTTGATCAAACACAGTGCCTACTCAACATGATTGTAATGTACTGTCCACAGTTGTAAGACCATAAAAATTCAAAGTAGCAAGGTAGTTTGTTTCTCTCTATGAAGGCCAGTGAACACAAGTGCACATACATAAAAGACTTTGGGTTTTTGCCCATTAAGTTATTCTTTTGAAAGATGGGGGGGGGGGGTTAAATAACCAGATTTGGTACCCTGTATCAAAGAACACTTTGTATCTTAGTCTTAGAGGGCTTAAAGCTTGATCATATTAACCTTTTAGTAAGTTCTATAGCCAAATATCAACCACTAACTGGTCCCTCCCCTCCACACTTTCAGAGGAAGACTGTACTATATATGGAAGATGTCACAAAATTAAGATTTCACTATCTGAAATCAAAGGGACCAGAGCGCAGGTATCTACTCTGCCTTTTCCAAATTTCAGGAGAATTATTTCACCTTCAGGCTTCCAGCCTGATGCCTACTACCCACTTTTCTGCTATGGCAATGTGTATTCTTAACGTACAAGGAGTTTGTTAAATTTTCACAGGGAAATGATCCATTTTGATAAATAAAAACTTGTGGGTATAAATGTGAAACATTTTTAGGATCAGAAATATTACAGCTTTTTTTAGGTCATTAGAAGTCTGATTTCTAGCAGAAGAGCATCTTGAAATCCATTTAGAATTCAAAATTAATGCTAGATAAAATAATTTATAAATTATTTAGTCCCAAACACTGCTGTGCTTGCAGTGTCCAATTTTTTCAAGAATGCATGGTACCCGGTAAGCATTTTGCCATGCTTAGAAAGAGGTCCCCATGAATTTGAACAACACTTACAAATATTAAGCATTTCTATGAACAAAACTAGGTTTCTGAAGCTGGGAGCCCAAAAAATGAGAAACATATCACTACTGAACACATTGTTCTAGGGTCAGATGACTAGTCCATAATTAAATAGAAATTTTGGCAGAAGTCAGTTTTCCAGAGTGACATTTCATTTCATAATAAGCCATACTTTTCTCCTTCCATAACCTTCTACCTTTTTCATTATGTTTTCCGAATTCAGCAATATTTAAGTGCTTCACAGTACAGCTTTCATTCTGCACCCATACTAAATGATCCATCCTTCACAATAAATGAGGCAAAATACACCTGAAAAACTAGCATACAATCAAGTTAAAATATAAAAACAAAACAAAAAAGACTTCTATCATGTCTATCATGGACAACACTAATCTTTATTTTCAAGCTTCTAAATGTTTTAACTTTGTTATGAACTTTTGTTCTCAGTTGTTTTGTTTTGTTGTGGTTTTTTTCCCTCCCAAAAATGAAATCTGCAGAGAATACAGCTGTTCTACTCTAATAAGCCTCTGCTGAGCGGACAGAATTTCATATCTGTTTCTCCCTTCCCTCCTGTATACTTGTCTCTTGCTAAAAGTTTCACAGCAACAGCAGAAATTTAACACCCATGATGTATCTTCCAATTTTTATGTCGTGCTCCAAAAGGAGAAGACACTAAACACTCTTCTCAAAGATTATAGGCAAAGTAATTTCCTCCTAAACTCATTCTGAAAACTGACAAAATGAAACTGATTAAAATACTTATTAAATCCCCCAGATTCTTAAAAAACAAACTTCCCCACAAATCAAAACCAGATACCTAATAAAGGTCTAAAAATGTTAAATAGAGTAATTACAGAAGGCATATGCAGTCTTGACTAAATACTGATATTTGTATTCAAGCTTCATTATCCTTGTAACTTATTTTTTCATTTTCATAACACACTCTGCAGGTTATTCCTTCCTTACCCTGCCCTACATACAAACTTTATCTTCCTCATTGTCACTCTCTGTATGTAAACAGTACTATATGTTCTCCTCTCCCATTTCACTGAGGTACTAAGCATCAGAAATACTTCTGTTATTCATGGAACTAATGGAACTAACCCCAGCCATAAGGGTTTATAGAAACCTAAGGATCTTTGTTCCATTATTAAGCCTGCCAGAAAAAACATATGCAGCAAGTTAACACAAACCATTACATGCACAAGTTCTATTTATAAAGCAATTCTTCTACCCTAGCTACCCAGTGTAATATATATTTTGTCATCATAGATACAAGTGCTGCTTTCTCTCAAACAATGAAATGAAAAACAAGAGATGGCATCTTTCTCTACCACATAATACAGATGACCAAGTTTTATAACTCAAAAATTGCCAAGTTAGGAAGAGAACTTAATGTACATTAGATGCAACTATGTACAACTAAAATAATCAACCACAGAACACGCCCCTGAAGTTTACCAAGGTTATTCTTTCAGGAAGAATAGAAAATGAGGTATTTTAAAACTGGAATTCAAGAGATCATTGAGGTTAAAAAACCAAACTAACAAAAAAAAACCCCAAGCCACAAAACACAACTCTTAATTCATATTCCCTACTCAATATGATATTTATCTTTTCTTGTTTGACAAAAGAAGAAAAAAATCATCTTTTCCTCTGCTACAAAATCAAATAAAATGGGAACTATTTCATCATGCTTTGAAGAAGGCTTTTTATTAAATGTAGTGTTCATAATATTCAACCATATAATACACCTGAAAAAAATATTCATCCCAATTCTCTATGTAGAAACATAAAAAAAAGCACTTTTGGTTCAAATATCATCACGTTATCTCACTGACTTAGTTTCAGATTGCTGAACTTTCTGAAAAATTACTTTATGGACACAGCAATAGCTCAAAATAAAACTAGTTTTGGAGTCGTAAATCCTCTTGCCTGCCTCCCTCATTCTATGATCAAAACCAGAGAAAAATACTGTATTTGTAAATTAAAACCAGTAAAAACAACGTTGGCTAATTGAACAAGGTGCCAAGCTGAAATAAATTCACATTTGCAATACAGATTAAATGAAACAAACCCATTTTAGCTTCTATGTTACAACACATACATTAGAAGAATCAGAAGGCTACAGTCTTAATGATCTGCATAGGAACTAATGATTTTATCAAAAGCATTTCTGAGATGCAATAAAGATGACATTTGTTATTTTTGGTTAAGTATTTAAAATTATTTTTAAATAAACAAACATATGCATTATAAAACAGTTCTACCAAAATGTAGTATTCTTCAGTTGGCTATACTTTTTTAGCTCTTAGGAAAATATACTTTTAAAGTGTTATAACAAATTATATACTTCTAATGCCCTTCCATGTTTAAGGGTTTCACAACATTAGATGGGAAGCTACTGACTTCTCATGGTTTATCAGATTATCTCAGAAAACTAAAATAAAAACTAACTTCCTGTCTAATCTTTTAAAAGAATTAACGTTAGCATAGATACTGTACATATGTCTCTTTCTATTTTACATATTAGTCAGTATTCCCAGTAATCACAAAATTGTAAGTTTCACCTATTAAATTCAGCAATTAATTCGAACACTCAACACAGTAAGTTAAACAGGTGATGGTTAGCTACATATGTCAGAGACCTTCTCACTCTTCAAAAGCACTCCAAGTGGAGGAACCAGAAAAATCGGGTCAACCTCTAGTGGAGAGGTTGCATATACTGCATAATAAAAGTAATAAATAGTAAATAGTAACTAAAAAGCATGATTTACCCATTAATAAGAAGTTCAGTTACCTTTACCATACCTTTATCTGCTGTCTTCTAAGCATTGCAAGTTCCCTCATATCTCGGAATGGTTGTAGTAAGTACTGGTAGAGCTCCGTGGTAGCTTCTGCAAGACTACTGTAGGCTTCATCTTCCATTTGATACAGTTCAAGCAGCTCTACCATGCTTTCCGTGTTCTTATGTTTTTCTAGAAGCTGCAGAAAAAGTGCCATTTTAGTGAGCATGTTCAAACATTCCTGTTAAACATGACAGTAATTTAAAAAACATTTTTTAACCTATCCTCTTGTATTATCTTTCCTCTCCCACAAAATCATCACAAACAAACAAACAAAAAATCTTAATCCCCACCCACATCTTGAATTTAGCCAGTCAAGTATGACCACATCTCTGACAACCTTAACTCAAGATGTGCAGAACTCCTATTGATTTTTTGTTTCCAAAAAGGTATGGAAGGTAATGAATATAAAAAAACAACTTAGTACAAGAACCTATAACATAGTAATCAGATACGCTACGTCACACATTTCCCACTTTCAGGTGTCGGCCGGGGGAAGGAGTGATAGGAAAGGAGACAAAAGAAGAGAAGTCACATTTTGATCTTTCTAGTTTGTTTTTTTTTTTTTTGGGGGGGGGGGGTGTGTGTTGTTTTTTTGGCCTATCTGTACTTTGGACCCACACAGCCCCGTTATATCAGTGCAGCTCCAGACACAGACAAGAATCTGTATGAAACAAAACAATGATCTGCATTTCTCATAATTTGGCCTTCCGGTTTATGATTTTAGCCTAAATAGTTTAGGCATGAAATTTCAAATGCACGAAGTTTCCATTAGATTTTTTTTTTTTAAAAAAAGGAAATTATCTAAATATTTTAAGCTTTAAAAAAAATACTTAAAATAATTTGTTTTAATTCATATAAGAAAACACAATATAAAAATCTGTCCTTTCCTTCCTTTAGTTCGTATGAAACTGACAATTCATCTGTTTGTACAAATTTGCTACAATGTATGTTTTTAATTTATATGCTTGTTTTGCATTTATTTTGGGCATTTGCCTGGGCAGACCTCATATGCTGCTGGAAATCTTTCACCATTTCTAAAAAAATATTCAACTGTTTAACAAAAACTAATCTCATACAGACATGTGGAATACTTGATGTATTTACAAAGACAAGATTATCTCAAATTAATTCCCCTCTTATGTAATTTTCAAAGTCAGTGTCTTGTTCTTTATATTATCATCTCAAAAGCGTATATTCACAATCCAGGTTTATTTAAACTTAACATAGATTAGGAACGCTATGGAGTAAACACATCGTATTTTCTACCTGTTCATTCAAGTTGGATGCCAAGCCTACATAAAATATTCTCAGTATACTCAACTGCATCAAGTATTATAACTGGAAGACAAAATAGAGGGAACTGCAGATTAAAAATTGAAGCTTTGGTCAACAGTCCTTTGGTGTCTGGTCCGTTTATATCCCAGGAGAGTCAAGAGAAGTCTTGATTACCATACTGTCTACTCAGTTTGCTCCATTACATTTATATTACTATGCTGTTTCAGTTACCTGACCAGATAAAAATTTTCTTTCTTCATAATGTAAAGTTTGCTTCTGAAGATCCCCCTAACCTCACCTGGGCTTCCTTTGAAGCACTTAAAGATCGGCCAAGATTAGAGAGAGGATGCAGAGCAGAATGCAGAAAGGCTCATAGAAGCTTTATTTACATGTTCAGCATTAAAATGATGGTCAGATGACAAACCAGGAAGAGCTCTCCCTCCGGAAGGCTTAGCAGAGACGAAAGGTTTGGGAGAGATGGTGTAGAACAGATGTGACATTCCTCATCAGCGTGAGGCAATTTGTTGTATTACCTAAACAATTTCACCTAGGAAATTGTTCCTATTGCAAGGTCATTTGCTACGCCCTTCTGCTCTCTTCCAACAGCACGTAATTTTGTGGCATTTGAGTTCTCACTGAGAGTACTGGGTAATGGTTTCTGGCTTGCAGTCTGTAAAACTGACATTTTATGAACTTTCAGGGTTAAACACACATAACCTGACCTGCAATTATAGGTACAGAAGTCACCCCAAGATGCTCTTGGGTTTGAGTCCTAAGTCCTTATGGATTTCATGCATTATTCCAGCCCACTAGCTGTTTTAACCATCTAGTCTATAAAGCCACCTTCTTCCTCAGCTCCTCTTGCTTGTTGCTAGTACCTAAAAACAGAGCTGCCATACTCAAGCCTTCTCCTACTTCCCCCTGGCACTATCAAAAAACCCTCTTGCAGTCCCAAAGCTGTAATTATGCCTCTGTCAAGGTAGTGGAAAACCAAACCTTTCTTCTCAAGCCACCCATTGCAAGAAGGGTCTCTATTATTAGCAGCAGCTCTACAGCACACCGTAATGTTAATTTCCTTTTAGCTGCTTAGGCTAGTAGTATCTTCTTATAATAAATTTATACACTTTTTTTTTTTATCGTGAAACCCTACTATTCTACTAGGATACAAGCCCTAGAGGGCAACAAAAAAGTGACAAAAATTAGAGAAAGCTTATCACCATTTAAAGGAGAATCTTAAGTAATCTCATTCCAGGAACAGAACAATACAATGCAGGGGTTTTTTTCCCTTTACAGACCATTCTCAAGGCCTATTTAATAGTTCTGATATTCTGGAAGACAGTCACAACTTTGCAGAAGTGCCAGAAAATGAAGGACCATTTCAATTTTATGACCATTAGTATAGTACAAAGACATCTTAAGGACACTAAAAGCAAGTATCTACTCCTCCTGATTTCAGCTGGGACAGAGTTAATTTTCTTCTTAGCAGCTGGTACAGTGCTGTGTTTTGGATTTAGTAGGAGAATAACACTGATAACACACTGATGTTTTAGTTGTTGCTAAGTAGTGCTTACACTAGTCAAGGACTTTTCAGCTTCCCATGCCCTGCCAGCAAGAAGCTGGGAGGGGGCACAGCCAGGACAGCTGACCCAAACTGGCCAAAGGGATATTCCATACCATGTGACGTCATGCTCAGTACATCAACTGGGGGGAGTTGGCCGGGGGGCAGTGACCGCTGCTCGGGGACTGGTTGGGCATTGGTCGGCGGGTGGTGAGCAACTGCATTGTGCATCACTTATTTTGTATATTCTTTTATCATCATCATCGTTATTATTATTATTATTACCCTTTCCTTTTCTGTCCTATTAAATCGTCTTTATCTCAATCCACAAATTTTACTTTTTTTATTCCCCCAATTCTCTCCCTCATCCCACTGCGGGGGGGTGTGGGGGGTGTGAGCAAAAGGCTGTGTGGTGTTTAGCTGCCTGCCAGGTTAAACCACAACACTACTTATAATTAGTTGGTTGTTCAGTGAAAATCATGTCCATCACTGAAAACAGTATGGATGAAGTAATGAATTATCATTACATTCCTGCACATACAGAAGAGAAGCAAATGGGCATTGTTTCAAGGTCTTGTCCAGGTCCAGTTCTACTTGGTCTGCTGCTGGGGTTACCCCAATCCTAAACCTAATCCTCAACTCCTTCAGAAATACCAAATCCCCAGTAAATAAATACAAGTGAGGGCAGGTTATTCATACAGAACATATATATTCTTAAATCATTAACACAGGGTAAGCAACCATTCTTCCTTCCTAAGGCAATGATGCACACAGACTCCATTTCCTGTGCCTAATGAAGACCTTTCTGTATGAAAATGGTGATAAAATTTCATTTCAACTACAGTTGCCAGAAAAGACGTAACAAAACATGAAAACTGATTTGAAAACCAAAGAGTATCACCTTATTTGGTTTGGAGCAAAGGCCAAAGAGCTATTGAATAGGGATATTCTTCAGAACAGGTAGGAAGGTTACCAACCTGGAAGCACTGGTTACATACAGCCTCATTACACCCATCCATCTATTAACATGTTCTTCTACAGGTTCATTCAGACAGTGTTTTCGGGAAAAACATCCGAACATTAACCTTTTCTACAAAGGTTGTAAACCAGCTCGAAAGCACACTGTAATTATTTTTTTGCCTTGTAAGCCCCCCACCATAAAATTGCTGCCTCAGATTTCACTTGGGTTAAAAGTTATATGACAGAAAGAATAAAACCGAAGAAGTATGAAAAAATCCGGTTTTGAAAAAGAAAAACAACACAAAGAAATTATGACATGCGTTTGAAATTATAGTTATGATACGTGACCAGATGGCCAAGAAGGCCAATGGCATCCTGGCCTGTATCAGAAATAGTGTGGCCAGCAGGAGTAGGGAAGTGATCGTCCCTCTGTACTTGGCACTGGTGAGGCCGCACCTCGAATACTGTGTTCGGTTTTGGGCCCCTCACTACAAGAAAGACATTGAGGTGCTGGAGGATGTCTAAAGAAGAGCACCAAAGTTGGTGAAGGCTCTAGAACACAAGTCTATGAGGAGCGGCTGAGGGAACTGGGACTGTTTAGCCTGGAGAAAAGGAGGCTGAGGGGAGACCTCAT